AAGCAGAATATGTAACCGAAGACTGTGGCTGTACTGACACCTATCCTATGGAAGAAACAGTTTTACTTTTTAAATAAAAGCGACCTAATTGATCCACAGTATCACTGCAATTGCATTGCAAGGCTAATGTGGACTTTTATTCACCAAGTGCCCTAACATGTTCATTGTCCAAGTACTAAAACCTCTATATGGAGTTTGAAGGTTTTTAAAACTTAAAGCTTAGTCTTGCTGGGGAGATGCAGGCTAGCGTTCACGTGGCAGGTAAATGGATTAGGCTGCAGTGTACAATATGTAGTGAGTCTGCACATAACCGCGTTCCTGCCAAATGTCCCAGCACCTGAACATAAATGTTGTATTGCAAACAAAACTTCAGAAAGCTAGAAAAAACCCTACTAGCCACATCTTTTGAGTCTTGCCCAGTGGTTACCCTTCGGTTTTTGAACCGAGTTAATGATTTTTCCAATGTACGTCTTCTTTTTACACAGGAAATTTTTGCAAATAAGTAGTACACACAGAAGAGTAATCATATGGAGAAAGCCTGTTCTTCATGTCAGTGTGTGTTGCAATTTTTTAATAATGACGTTGTAAATGGGAATCTAAGTCAATCTTTCAGATCTTCAGTAGTTTTGGTATCTAGTCTTAAATGTCAGCTAAAGAAATTGAAGAAAACTAGCATAGGTTCTGTCAGGAACACTTTTAGCATTGTATGTTCTTATTTTGATTTGATCTACTATACTTTTATAAATAATATATGTATTACATAAATATAAAAATAGATAATTTTATAAAGCATATAGCCCGAAGGGTACTCTCATGGTGGGATGAAGGAATGTCTCATAATTCAGCTCAAATTTGTGACCTGTCTCATTACTTAATATCTTAAAAATTTTAAAAGTTCCACATACTGGTGTTCTCCATTTTTCAACTAGAGAATTAATTGAACTGACAAGGTATGAGGAAAGCATTATAAATCTTTTTCTAATGAGCCTATATGTCTGAAGCTTAGACCAAAAGCTATAGGCAGTTTTAATACAAGTTAGGTTTGACTTCATCTTGGCAAAGAATTCACTAGTATCCTGCTGCAGCCACTTCTTTTAAAGCTGATATTTTGCAAATAGTATCTTATATACATATAGATCACAAGGATAACTTTGCCATGCCAATCTTTGTGCTCTGTACAGGAGTACATAAAAAATGCAAGGCGGTAGAGCAAATCTTTGGCAGAATGGTTAGCTAGTAGAATTCCAACAAGAATTAGTTTCCTTTCTTCTGCTAATGGTATTTTGTGTACGCTCACAATAAATACTCAATCTTGGTTTTGGTGTTCCCCCCCACTGCCCCGAAAGTGGTGGTTCTAGCATTTTTAACTGTAAAGTTTAGACATCTTTTGAAATAAAGCATCCCAGGCAGACATGATCAGTGTTTTTTTTCTTCTTTTCTGTGAATAGCAGACGCCATAAATTATTGGCCATACTTGAGTCAGTTGTCATCAGTTTGACTAACGCTATGTAGTTATATGAAAATGTTTACAGCTACTGAATGAAACCAGTTTATTTTCTTACCATAAGGATTTTGAGGAAAAAAGAGAAAGATAACTGTATCACCAGTGAGCTGTTGGCTTTGTATGGAATTAATTACTGCTTTTTAAATATAAAATATGGCACTTTTATGCCAAAGTCCTTTTAATGCCAACAGTCAAAAAATTCCACTTATGATTCAAAACCTATGTTGTTTTGCTGCTAATGCCTTCAAATATACTGGAAGCTATATCCCCACTTGAATTCAAGTAGTGAAATGGCAAATTTAATCTGTGCAAGAAAGAAAGTAGACACATTAGATTTTACAATTGTGTCCTCAAATTTTTTTTTTAATAGCATTATGTGAAATGAATAAAATTATTCTGAATGTAGTATTTTATTTCGGATAGAAGAGGATAAAAAAAGTGATGGAAATCTATTAAATATTCAGCAACTATTTAAGTGTATGGTAAATTCTTGGTGGATTCTTGACAGTGGAAGTCCATATCTGTACAGCTGTATTTGGTTTCAACAAGCTAGGATTTTTCCTGAACATTTTGCTAAGTATCTATAGAGGAATGAGTTATAGTATCCTGATTTTCATCCTGTATCATAATACAGATTTAGAGTTTTGGGGGCATATCCTGCTCAATCCTGACCACATTCCCTTTATCTTCTCTCTGTGGAAATACTCTGCAAGTAAAAGACTGCATAGGATTTTCTTCACCATGTTGTCTGCTCTGAGTGGCTGAAGAAGTGCAGATGTGTTTTCCCATATGCTTCATGAAAATATTAACAGCTAAGAAACTCCAGACCTGAATACACTTTCTAAATAGCAATTTAAGCAGTAGTCAGAGGGGAGCAGGAGGATTAAATCAGGTGAATATTCATATCTAGTATTGCAGAAAATACAGGTTTATTTTGGGGTGGGGGGGAATCTCAGTAGTACCATACCAGTTTACTATCAGTAAAGAAAAGTCAAAAGCAAGATGTAACTTCATGGGCAAGAAAAGTCAATGGCAGAAAAGAAAAGTCAAGGGCAAAATATAAAACTTAGGCTCTGATTGTTTCTCTTACCACTTTCATTTTCTTTCTTACCTTAGAAAAGTTTTCAGATCACGGAAGCTATTTCTTCTATCTTTTCCATGATTCCTCAGCTGGCTTTTCTCAAGATAGTTAGGCTTGTGTGATGAGAATTGCTGCTTCTGGTTGGAACTATTTCATTTCTTTTGTGCATATTAATCTTAGAGTGTCTGTGCATACCATTCTTTACTCTTTTATTTTTTGTTCTGTTTGTTTTCCCATTCCTTTTTCTCACTGTCATTGCTCATTGGGGAAAACCAGCAATTACAAACCCCTGTGTACTTGTTTATTTTCCAGCTTATGACATTATTAATTTCCAATTATTAAATAGTTGCCCAATATTGCCTATTGCAAAGTGAAGCAATTAATTCACTGACAATGTAGTAAACCCTTCCTGAGCAAGATGAAGAATATACAGGAAAAGAAGAGTTTCAGTAGTGTTTGGATTCATTTCCATTGGGTTACAATACTGACATTTTTCTCCTAGCTACCATGCCTTTCACTAAGAGTGGTTTAAATTTAGGAGAATTATTTTGATCGTCAGAGAGGTCTTCTAATTACCAGAGCTTAATTCTGATAATTAAGGTCAAACTTATTAACCAAAAAAAAACCCCTAAAAAAAAAAAGAAAAAATGGAAGTGAATACTCCACTGCTTAAACTCCCAAGTTTAGAATGTCCAAAATTCTTCTGTTTCATACCCATATGCAATGTCATGAAAGTTGATCACACTTCCTGTGTGTTTTTTCCATGCTGATATAGTTTGGGGTGAACAGAACAATTTCTTTATTAAACTAAGTAAAAAGCCGGTCTGTATCAAAGTGATTTTTTGTATGCTGTGCTCCTGTGACTGTTCAGCATCAAGACCATAACCCAGAAGCATCTTCAGCGCTGAGTACTGTTAGACTCTCATTTGGATCCCACAGTCATATTGAATGTGAACACTACTCTTTTGTAAGTGAGTTTGGTTGGAGGGCTGGTACTATAACTTCTAGTTGTCAAGGACTAAAATTCTCAGGAGAGGAAATTGCAGTAAACAATGTAAAGTCAAATAGATGCCCTGGGTGCTTTGCTGTAATGAATATAGAAGAAACATAGTTAAACAGTTCCCAAATCGACTTTATGCACTGGTGACCTGTTTTTTTCTTCGGAGATGTTTACTTACTAGGCATACACCGTGGTCCAAATCCATTTCCCTGCCAACATAAATAAAGCTGCAAAGTCTATTTAAATTAAATAAGTAAGAATAATGATATTTCGTTGTTTCAAAACCACAGAGAGGTTTAGAAATTGAATTTTTATATTGCTGGCTTCCGAACCAGAGCTATAATCTTAAATTTAAAACCTACTTTTTTTTGTTGGGTTGGTTTTGCTTTCAAGTATTTGTATATTGTTGATGAAACCAAGGCATTTGCCCTTTTGAAAAACGATCAGGTGTGTAAATCTAGTTACCCAACACAAATGTTAGCAGATGTGTATGTTGATAGTGGTTGGGCTGCAAGAAAATATCTTTCAGAGAGACAATTTTTCTGTTAATATGAGTTCTGGTTTTCACATGAAGACATTTAACATATTCCCATAGGTCATATTTGTCCTCCATGTCTATTCACATAAATATAAATCGCTTCTTACCCTTTAGGATGATGTCACAAGTGATATTTATTATCTAACATTCAGAAGTGGCTTATTTTGGGCCTGAGTGGGAGAGAGAATTGCAGTTTTTTGCCCTGTGGCTTCATACCTGAAAGAGGTTGAGAATCAGTGGACCAGATCCCCAAAAGCACTTCTGTGACCAGACCTGTGCTTATGCAAGTCCACCTTTAAACAGCTATTAGAACATAAGCATCTGAGGGTGTCTCTTTGTGCTCAATGAATACTACCTTTTCCTTATTTATTTTTATTTTCATCAGTCTGTGTATACTGCACACCATATCCACACCCGATGCTGAATACATAGTTACTAATTTACTCTTGAGTGTTTCAATGTCCATCACTACTGTACTATTTACATTTTTCAGGAGGATCAATGAGTTTACTCAACGGGGAAAAGTGATATTTTGCCAGTTGGGAAATTGGAGACCAGGGACAATAAGGCTGAAACTCAACACGGAGCATGTACAAACAAATTTTTTTCAGTCCCTGAGGCTTATAGGTACACTACATGAGAGTGGGTTTCCACAAAAACAACTCTTGGAGTTGAGAATGATCATCTGCCGTATTCTAATCTCTCCCCAAAGCGTAGAATTATTGTATTTGTTTTACTTATATTTTTTAAAGTATTTACATATGAGGATGCACAGGGAACTGAACTGCTAAATCGGCTGCTTGCGTGACAGTTTCCCTGTAAGCGACTGCAAATGGACCCAGTAGTACTGCCAAAGCCGCTACTGGCCTGCGCAGTGATGACAGTGATGTGCCCCAGGGTGCGTTCCCCATCACGCGCTGGACCAGCCACGCTGTCACATCAGAAGGGAGTCCCAGATGGAGGATTCGGCCATCCAGGTCTCAGGCTGTATAGACAGCCTGGTGCCTCGGCTGGGGCTGGGGCTGGCAATGATGTTGGCCTTCCCGGTGAGGGGTGTGCGCTAGTTGAGACACTGAGCCACGTAGCCATCACACCAAGGAGCTGTAGGAGATGGTGTGCAGACTGTGGAGACGAGCTGGGTTTTTGCAGAGACCGTGCAGAGCAAAAGCCCAAACCCTGCATTTCAGGGAAGGAGGGAGGGATGTCTAGAGGGGTGGCTGCACCTGAATGAGTGGAGGCTGGAGACTCATATAATGGGGGAGGTTGGAAACTTGTGATGTCCAGGAGGAGGAAGGCTCTTTATCTACTGGCAGAGGTACCCTTACAGAATAGATATAAGGCCACGGTAACAGGTGAAGGGGAACCAGTTCCCTCTGGGGAGACATCAGCTGAGCCTGAACCACTTAAAAGCACCAATGGGAAATGAATCCCTTCTTGTCATCTCTAGGATCCTCAAAGGGTGGTTCAGTGAGTGTGGTGCTCGGACACGCACACAGGCTGTGCACAGAGTCTGTAGGGGGCTGACTGTGTGTCTTCGCTTGGGTTCGAAACCTTGCCTGCTTGTTCCTGCCTTGCCAGTGAGGACCGTGTTGTTAGAGGAGAAACACGGCTTTAGCAAATGGAAAAGGTGTCGTCAAGAATCATCCTCAGACAGATCACTTGACAGATCTGCTTCATTCAGTGTCTCTGTTCACTCCCTTTCTGTATATAACTTGAATGTCTGTTATATGAGATTTTTGAAAACAAATTCCACATTTCTTCCTTAACAGTAAACTTTTCAGTTTGAACTGTACACACTTATGACACAAAATATATGACAGAAAATTTGAAATGCATATAACTAACCTCATGACTGAGCTTTGTAATTGTGTTGAGGTCCTTTCTTTGCCCTGTTGATTGCTTTTTGAGCTATCTTTGAAGAATCAAGAGTACATTATCCATTTGCACTGATGTGCATCATCGTTTTCATCGTTCTTATCTTATTATTGATACTTATCTGAGATGTTTTCAGGCAAAATAACAGATTCAATGTCCTTTATCCTGAAGAATAGGCAATATTTTCTCCAAAGGTTGCGTTTATTTATAAAGTATACTAACACTGCAGGACCAAAGGGCATCCTCTTAGAAAGTCATCTGTGGCAAACGGCTCTTTTGTTTTTATTACACATGCATGCTGTCTCAATTTCTTGAAGTTTTGATAATTGCTAGATCCTGAAAACATTATTTTTCCTTCTGTGTTGTCTTATATGTCTGTGTTTTGCCAGTTCTTCTGACATCAGTGTTACTGCAAGCATTCTTTCTCATTTTTTATTGTTGAATAAAATGTCACCGGGTGGTGAATCCGTGCTTAATTCAGACTGTGTTATAACTTAACAGCATTATAATGAACTAGCGTCCAGCTCTAAAAGCTTTCTCATTGTGATATTAATTCTTACTAATTTGTTTTTGAGGGCTAACGGTTGTATGTCTAGCCATAAACATTGCTGCAATCTGGTTGAACTCAACCATTAAACTTCATCTCGTTTATCACATCTCCTGTCCTATGTCCAGCAAAAATAGTTTCATTATATATAATCACCTATTGGTAACACTTATGGGGAGTCACCATGGCTCCTCCTCTTATTAACATGGCATGGATAACCACAGAGAGGAATGCAAGAGTAAACAGTTTGTGTGAATGGAATACCCAAATCTGCCTCAGAGGATGTTTGCCCAAAACCTGGTAGTGCTAAAGCAGAAATCAAAAAGAGCAAAGTTTGCTTAACAGGACTATCAGCTGGTTTCAATGGTAACCAGGGAGTTACCTAGAGACTTCTGGGGGCTTTAAAAAAAAAAAAAAAAAAGAAAAAAAGCATTAGCTTGAAAAGAAGTGTAAAAGAAGCATGAAAACTTGCTACAGTGGGGAGAGAGAAATGGGAACAGAGCAGCATCAAAATGGGGTTTGCCAGTTGCTGGTTGTGCTGCCCCACAACCACCACAGCCTACGTCCAGGATGGTGCATCCTCCCTGCTGGAGGCTGTGGTTATCCAGCACTGCTGGGACCCACCTCGGGTATTCATACCTGGCTCTGGGAGATGTTGTTCACTGCCTGCAAATTATTCAACTGAAGAAAGCAGGAGAGGTATGCACAGAACTGGAGCCGTCACATCTCCCAGAGGAGGTCCTTGTAAATAGGAGCCTGCACCCCAGAAGAGGGAGATCCTCATCTGCTGCCTGTGACTAGGTTGTGCGTGTGCAGGCGACTGTGTGAATGTGGCCGTGGGGATTAGGAATTTGGGGGGCTAGCGGTAGAAGGGTGTTTAGAAAATTGTAAGCATTTGCTGTCATTTTGTAAGTGCCTGGTATTGTGGTTTATCTGTTCTTTTGCTGATATTGATCCTGAATGTATAGCTCACTGATTGCCAGTTAATTATGTACCATTAATAAATCAATAAACCCCTTCAATCCTGATTTCATTTAAACCATGTGACTTAGCCAGTTTTTTCCTGTGACAACACTGTATGTAAAACTGAGGTAAAGGAAGATAATATCTCCAGAAAATACATGATGAATGCCTGCTTTATTTAGCACATCAGTTTAGATCATGCGGGTTTTTAGGATGGTGGCTCAGGCTAGCATGTTGTGAGAGCAACATGGGTTTTGTTCCTCAGCTGATCCTGTTGTTTTGGTACATGTGGCTGGCTCCAATAACTCCCTCAGTGTGGCTATTTTCATACAACTAATATAAAATAGCCATAATCTTTCTTTCCATTTAGAAGTTTTGATCTTTAATCAAAAGTACAATTTTTCATAGTATTTTAACATTTGTTGTCTTCTGCTTCAACCAAATTTCCATTAAAACTTCAAGTGCCTCTTTGAATTGTACAGCACACCTGGGAACATGCTATTCTGATCACTCTGTGTTGATAGTCATAATCACTTTCTGCAACATCTTAGTCTAAGCCATAGCTCTGGCAATCACTGTTGTTTTGTCTGAAAGTGGGGGAATTAAAAAAAAAATAAAATTATATCGGTATTTATAGTACCAGATGATAGACTTTGTGTTTTTACCAGATGAATTATGGTGCTCCACACCTATCATGTCTCTCTGTATCTAGTTTGCATATCATATATTAATAAAATTGAAGTGTTTTATCAGTCAAGGTTGTATTAAAAGCCAAAGAACCAGGAAGGCTTTCAAAAAGTATTTACTCTCTGAGTATATATGCTATTTTCAAATACCCAGGCTTAGAATTACAGAATTAATGGCTATTTTGAACTTTTACTGCTGTTAGTGGCATTGTGCTTTATGTTTCAGCTATGTAACTCTAATTTGCATTGTGAACTTTTTCTCTGATGGGGTGGTGTTCGAGATCCCTCTGAGACAGCGTTGCATAGAGAACCACTTCATTAAATTTGTCAGTTCTGGCTCTAAATGAATGCCTTAAAAATGAATTCCACTCTAGAATAAGAAAATGCTTTTAGGGATGAAGTTCATAAGGACTGTTTCTGCAGGTGATCGAAGCTAAAGGCATTGACACATGTATGTTTTTCTCTAGCTAATGACTTGTAAAGGATGAGAATAAGGAAATTCTAACATTCATTGCTCGTGATAAATTATGTCCATTAAATGATTTCAATAAAGTGTTTCAACTTCTGTAAAACCTCTCTCAGAAAATACCAGAATAATTTTTGGTTGATAAAAGGCTCATGTCGCTCATCGGCAGGCTGTGACTTCAAATGAAACTAATAAATTAGAGGGGCAAGATCTAGAAGGAGAAGCAGGATTCAATGCTTGTTAGAAGTATATATGAAAAAAAAGAAAGATATGCAGGCCTTGGGAGGGTTGTTGAAACAGTTTTATAGAACAAAACATTTAGAGTTAAAATATTATTCAGAGGTAAGCTGGAATTGTACCAACATAGATGCTGTCATTTTGCTTAAAGTTTGCGGTTTAGCTATTGGAAGCTATCTTCCTAGAAAAGTTGCAGGTTATTTTGAAAACTGAGAACAATACATGCAGGTGAAATTTTTGTCAGCAGGGTGCTTTTGCTACTGCAAACCTTCAGACTTGATTTAATAGCAGTCTGGCTAGAAAATCAGCTTCAGTCTGGACAGTGTAACATTGGCATGTACTAAGAAAGAGTCTGCCATGTTTAATTTTAGGACCTCAATAGGCTATTGCTTGTGCATCAGCAGATTAATCTGTAATCAGGAGCATGTAGAAGTTCTTTCCATTATTGGGTGTTTTGTGACCACTGCGGTGACTGCTTTGTTCTTACACCCCACATCACAAATTCAGCACAACCTTTTATACTAATTGGCAAAACGATCCAGAGCTTCACAGGTTATGGAAGCAGACCTGCCCTTCAGTGACACCAGGAATAAATTCAGGCTCGAGGCAGGCTGGTGGATAGTTGTACAAAGAGGGCTTTCTTCAGCTCAGTAGAAAGCTGGAAGTTGGTAGTCAGGTCTGCCCAGTAATTTCTGAAACACTTCACAAAGTTGCAGCTTGTGCAGGCTGCCATGCGGACTTGGAAAACGGTTTCTGGGGAGTGCACAGAGAAGTCTGAGTGTTGATAGATGTTATATTCATCTTGGCAGGTGCTATTCAAACTTAGTTATTTGTATAATTATGAACATTTTCTATAAAGCTAATAAATAGTTGTTATGGCTCAATGCAGATGGCATCAGTACCTGGTTTGGGGCTTATGAAATGCATATATGTATTTCCATAGATAACATTTCTCAGAGTTTAACAAACTATTAGAAATAGCATTATGGAAGATTTGTATGCTGTGTACATATTTTTGAGACCTGAATTCTGCCCTTGGGGAATTGACACTGCTACTGCTCAAAGGAGAAGCTATCAGGGGAAAAAAATATTGAAAATCCAAACATGAGCAAATAAGAGATGTTTTATTTCCCCTTCCCCTTTCTCCATTTGCAAAAGATTGGAAAATAACTGATATTGGAACCGTAGTGGCAGAAGCCACTGAGAAGAAAAAAGGATCTGAGAAAAAGCAAATAATATTAGTGCTTTGCTTTCTATTATATCTTCATCCTA